AATCAGAAACAATGTAAATAGTACAAGAGTGACAGGGAACTTTGTACAGCAATACAATCAATACTGTTGTTTCACATACTTACACACTCATATTTAAATGTTGAACTTGTATTTTCAGTGTGGTAATGGTAGCTTGAAGTAAATGATCTAAATACAGTGAACATGTGGACTAATACAGACACTATGAGGTCTCTTAACACTCATTTGAGAGAGCATACTGTTTATTGATTAAAAACGACTACAACTGATGCAAAACAAAGCTATTGCACTAAACACAAAGACAGACACTTTGCCATACTATAACAAACTCTAGATAGTCAAATATTGCATTTAATGAACCATTAGACCTGCACTGGGTTTGAAATGTTATGTTGACAACCTGCAAAAAAACAGTTAGCATTTCATTTGGGGCTCTACATTTAAATTAAGCTCACAATAAACACGTTAAAACTACATGGACATATCATAAACCGCACAGTATCACTATATACACGATTAGACACATTTATACTGAAGATACGTAGCTTTAAAAATAAGTAAAAAGCATCTTACCACTGCACCGCAGCCATTTTTTTGCAGTCATGTGACACCACAGTACTTCCTGGTTTTGCCAGATTTCGGAAAAACGCTGTTTTTGATTTAAAATGGGCTCTCTGTTATATATGTCATGTTGTTATAGTGAGGAATTGTACTATAAATACTTAATATAGTGTTATTTTAATAATTATAACACCGACAGCGTAGCTTTAGAAACGTTTTAATGAACTGTTACAGCAAATATGACTTCATTTCCCAGGAGACATTGCGCGCGTCTGGGCGAGCTGCACCAAAGAGTCAAACAAAAAGAAGGGGTCCCACTTCGAATCTTTTATTTGGGCGCAAAACACCCTTTCAGAATCATAATTCCTTTATTCGTCCTACAAAGGGGACATTTACGTTGTTACAGACAGTAAAGTATAACTAGAGACGAAGGAAATAGAACACTATTGTAAAAAAAAAATTAAACATACACATTATTACAATTACAATGTATACAAGTACACATTCAGGTAGATACGTAGCAGAGGGACTTTCCATCATATAATATGCTTCATAATAACATAACATTTATACTTAGTGAAACAATATTTGACCATAAATTGCGGCATTTACTTAAAATAAACTGTTTGTAGTCACCAGTTAAGCCGGAAGACGTTTATGTTTTTACCGCTGAGTAAACCTCTGTTTAACAAACGATCTTCACCGGTTCTCTGTAGCTGTACTCCTCTGCAGTCAGTGGAGACATGGCAGGTTAGCATGCTCATGACCTCACTGTAGAGCTTCTTCACCTCTTCACCTGACCAGGTACATCATGTCATAATGCCTACTTAAGTATGGGTTGCTATTCTGTTTATTTATTATGAATGACTCTTAATCGTGGAGGAAGGGTAGCAGTTAGCTGGAGGAAGCTAGCTGTTAGCTAACGGTGTATCATGACAGATTGAAGCTAATTGGAGAAAAGCTTTCTTCTTCTTCTACTGTTTTATTGTCTTCTTCTATCATTATAATGTGGATTTTTGTCAATTTTTCTTACCTCAATTGTCCATTTAGTTATTCGGTCCTCATCCGGACAAAGGTGATATTCACTGTGAGGTTTTATTACATGATAACAGCAGATTATGACTATCAACATCCTGCCTTAACATTGTTTTGTATATTTCACACAGTATGTAATCTTAACTACAGGAGTGAATGATTCAAGCTGAAGGGGAAGTTGTTACTGTCACATTAGGTCCAATTGGTTGATTTGTGTTTAATTAAATCAGATATTATTACATGTTACTTGTGACATACGAGCGACTTACATACTCAATACTGTGGGCAATCCCCACAGGAGCAATTTGGGGTGAAGTGTCTCAGGGACACAACGACATGCTGACTGCAGTGGGGATTGAACCTGTGCTCCCCTGATCCGAACACCCACTCACTGCGCCACACACCTCCCTATAGATAGAACTGTATGTTCAAAGAAAGTTCATCACATGACTGTAATGTGGCATTTTAACATGGAGCTATAAACTACTCAAGATAGTTACATCATAATATGGAGGTATAAAGTAAGCAGCACTTAGTAAATGAGTCAGAACATAGTATACAAATGTGTATTACTTCTTAAAGCTCTGATTGAGGTAATCAGATGTCTTGTTTGTTTTACAAGGAGTCCAACACCAATACATATTGAATTCACAGTGACATAAAGCAGCAAATCCCATTTTTTTTAAAAGTTTGGAACGGAGTAATGTCTGCCAAATTTGCTTGATTCACTGATTCATTGATTGTCAATTGTTTTGTGTTTTGATAAACCGGCTATTCAACTGGCTTTTGGTTTCAGCTCTACATAATAGAGAGGCGAAGTCCCGCCCATCTACCTCCGACCCATGGGACCTTATTTCTGAAAAATGATGCATTGAAGTCAATGGAGAGAGAAAGATTATCTTTCGATCCCGTTTGAATTGGGCCACGAATTACACATATGATGTTTGTCAATCTTAACAAATCATTTCCATGTAAAAAAAAGTCACAGTTTGTGGTAAAACTGTTGAAATATAAGACTATGAAAAATACGCAACTAGAAAGACTACAAATCCCAGAATCCCGGTCCCGCATGCTGGCTCTTAGGAACCGACTAACTCCCCTTGTGTGCAGTGGCGTGCACAGACATTTATAGGGGCAGGTGCTCAAGAGAAAAAAAAGGGCACCTTCTGAGTCGTCGTGGCGGTGGCGCCGAAATTGTGCGCTCCGAAATTGTGCGCAAAAATTTGCCGGATAATGGCGGATTATGTTAGTTTATTTTCGGTTTTTGGTTACTTTATTTCGGTGTTAGGGTTATGTTATTTAATTCTTATTTTTGCCTGATTTTACTGATTTATTATCAAAAAATTAATTATTTTAACATTTATTTGTATTATTCTAAATGACTTAGGGGGGTCCAATCTGAAGCTAAGGGGGGGACGAAATCCCCCCCCCCCCCCCCCCCCGGGATTGACGCCCCTGGTGGAACCGCCGGCTGCCTTAGTAGTGTGAGATTTATTAAAGGCACATCTTGTATGTCGTAATTGCATATATATTTATTTCAATAACCATATGCTGTCTGATGCAGATGCCTATCTAAAACAAATCAGATAGTAGGCTTACTAGCTTCTACTCGCTAAAGCAACTGTAGTCAGGGATGCAAACTCATCAGGTATGAAAAAGGTGACAAGGATCCGAGCCCCCCGACCCCACGGAATATCGGCTTTAAAATGAGGAATAACAGAGGATTTTAGCTGTCAGAACAACTAACGCAGCAGGTAATAATAACAGAAACGCCAAAGAGTTACATCTAATAGAAATATATAAAAGCATTTATTTTAATTGTGTAGCAGTCAGTTTATAATTTTGGCTGTTGAGCATTTTGAAAATGTATTTTCATGCCTCTTAGTATTTTTATAATACTTTTCTACTTTCACTTGAGGAACATTTTGAATGCAGGACTTTTACTGTAACAGAGTATTCCTACACTCTGGTACTTCTACTTTTACTCAAGTACAAGATCTGAGTACTTCTACTTTTACTCAAGTACAAGATCTGAGTACTTCTACGTTTATTAAGTACAAGATCTGAGTACTTCTACTAAAGTACAAGATCTGAGTATACTTCTACTTTTACTCTAGTAGCCTACAATCTCTATACTTATACCACCTCTGTTTATAGCCTATGAAAAAAACTATTAGAAAACGAAGGCTAAAGCTAACGTTAGCAGATAGTGACAATGATATTGCGACAGAAAAACGTTCCAGTTCACATCACGCACTGCCGCTCTGCTCTGAACACCTGAACGGCCCGTTCTAACAGCTGTTCACCAGCGGCTCAGTCCACAGTGACTCCGCACAGTTAACGAACACACCGTAGATAATGTAGCTGACCCTCATCCCGGAGCAGCAGAGTTCAGCCGGCCCGACAGGCAAGAAGACTCGAGCACACAGCTCGCGCTTCATATATTAAAAAAATAACACCATGCGCGTCATGATGGCACATAACAGCTCGCGACCGCAGATTATTTCGGCGATTAGATCAAATGTAAATTATGTTTGACGCAACTTTAGTTACATTTCCATGACTTTTCCAAAACTTTGGGAAAAATATTGTTTTCCATAACTTTTCCAGGGCCTGGAATTTGCATTTTGAATTTCCATGACTTTTCCAGGTTTTCAATGACCGTACGAACCCTGTATAGTTTAGCATCTGATTTAGGGGATTAAACAATACACTCATTGTTTTTGTTACCTGGTGGTTACTTGGTCGTCACTAGGGCACTATCGTGTTGCTGCGTGCTGCTGCACCACACACCCGCCGTGGCCTGTCTGACTGACTGACTGTCAGCTCTGCGCGCTGCGCGTTCACGTTGAGAGCAGGGAAGGGAGGGGTTGCAGCCAGAGCGCGTACGGGAGTGCCGCGGGGCACGTGTGGGGATGTCTGACAAAATTACAACGCGCATTTGGGGCATTGTTGTATATATATTAGAAGCTTTTAATCCAGAATTGATCGATGTTACCATGAGCCACATACAGTAAAAAACTGTAAAAACCGAACTTTCAAAAGGGCACATTGCTGTCAAGAGGGCAACACGGGCAGGTGCTCAAGCACTACCTAGAGTCTATGTGTGCACGTCTCTGCTTGTGTGTGTGTGTACAGCTCTCAACGCGCCCAGACTTGGAGTGATTTTCACCTCTTTTAATACTTTCCGCCTCATTCTGAAAGAAAGAAGTGAAATGTTTCAACGTGACGGCCGTCTTGGTGTGTGGTGCGAGACGGGAGATGTAGTTCATTGAGCGGTTTCACACACAACAAGTGTTACTTCACAGTTTTACGACACATTTTTTTTTTTTGACTTGCAAAATTATCTTTTAAATTGACAAACATCATATGTGTAATTCGTGGCACAATTCAAACGGAATCGAGAGATAATCTTTCTCTCCCCATCGACTTCAATACATACTTTTTCTGAAATAAGGTCCCATGGAGGAAAGGGAGGGACTTCGCCTCTATATTCTAAACATATCCTGGGCTCATTTTAGTTACTGTCATCATAAACTAATGTATCTTTCACACAGCTTTAATTATATGTTTTTAATTAGGTGCATTTTTTTATTCATAGTTTTCTAACTTAATTATAAGAGACAGAAAATGCAGGCTGATTATTTGGATCATTCAACTATTTTTATCAATTTCTTTCATGGTAAAAATGGGCTTTTACAGATTAATATGGATTATTACACTGATGTTATAGCATTAATAATGAGGCGCATGAAACCCATTATAAGGAAAGCAAGAGAAACAGTGTCATCAGGTGTCACATTGACGTCACATATTATGCGAGATGACCTAATTTGAACCTAATAGGGAGGCGTGTGGCGCAGTGGATTAGTGCGTTGGTGTTTGGATCAGGGGGGCGCAGGTTCAAACCCCACTGCAGTCAGCATGTCGTTGTGTCCCTGAGTCACTTGACCCCAAATCGCTCCTGTGGGGATCGCCCACAGTATTGAGTATGTAAGTCGCTTTGGATAAAAGCGTCTAACAAGTAACATGTAATGTAATGCACTCTAGGCATTTTTAATTGATACTGTAGTAATTGAGTTTAAGTAGCATCTGAAACAGGTGGTTGTTGACCGGCCTGACCCTCACTGCCTAATAAAGGACCCCTGATTAGTGTCTCTCATTATTAATGCCGACCCGAACAAGCCTTGTCTGTGTAACCAATACTCACTTTCATGAAATGGATCAGGTTTTATTTCCTTCTTGCTTAAGACATTCATCCTGTTGCATTTCCCTCTTACAGAGTTACCTCTCTGCATCTCCACGGCAAGTTTCTAACAACTGCTTGGCCTCGAGATGTGGATTTGCTGTGAATGATTAACAGGAGACTGATGGGCATTACTCGTTGAATATCTGTTCTGCCTATTCGACCCAAACAACCCCCAAAACCAAGATCCTCAATCTTTATTATAGGCCTGTCAGATAGACAATATTTGAGCAAGTCATACATGCGAAAACAATATTTTTGGTATTTTAAGACCAGTTTATGCCTCTAATGTAATGTTTTATGCCTATTAAAACAATGTAATAGCATAGAAACACAGGCTTTCAAAGTGTAATGAACTTTGAATTCCTAGGAATATTCAACATGTCGTTTTACTTCTGAATTATTAACAGGAGACGTTTAATTGGTAGGCGCTGATGGGCGTTACTCACCAAATGTTGAATATCTGTTCTGCCTACTCGACCCAAACAACCCCCAAAACCAAGATCCTTAATCTTTATTATAGGCCTGTCAGATAGATGATTTAGGAGCAAGTTATTGTCCCAAAAAGACACGCGATAAACAATGTAATTGGTATTTTTAGACCATTTTCTGCCACTAATGTAATGTTTTATGCCTATTAAAACAATGTAATAGCATAGAAATACAGGCTTTCAAACAGTAATGAACTTCTAATTCTTAGGAATAGTCCAAAATTGAATTGGAAACAAAAATAAGTCGCTAACAAAAGTGTTCCAGTTCATTTCCATATAGTTACTATAAGTTGATGGCATACAAATGGCCTGGAGATGTAGATTTGCTCTGAATTATTAACAGGAGACGTTAATTGGTAGGCGCTGATGGGCGTTTGAGCAAGTTATAAATGCGATAATCAATATAATTGGTATTTTAAGACCATTTTATGCGACTAATATATTGTTTTATGACAATTAAAACAATGTAATAGCATAAAAATACAGGCTTTCAAAGAGTAATGAACTTTTGTTTAATTGGTAGGTGCTGATGGGCATAACTCACCAAATGTTGAATATCTGTTCTGCCTACTTGACCCAAACAACCCCCAAAACCAAGATCCTTAATCTTTAACATAAACCTGTCAGATAGATAATTTAGGAGCAAGTTATTGTCCCAAAAATATAATGTTTTATGACTAATCATACAAAGTTATAGCATAGAAATACAGGCTTTCAAAGAGTAATGAACTTTTAATTCCTAGGAATATTCAAAATGTCGCTTTGCCTCTGAATTATTAACAGGAGACGTTTAATTGGTAGGTGCTGATGGGCGTTACCTGAGAGCCTGGCCTTGTTTTCTGTGACTGACATGTGTCGCAGAACTTGAATTGAGCTTTTTTTCGAGGGGTGGAGGTCCCACTACTTGAAGGATATCAATGGAAAACTCCGTCATGCTGCGCTACGAAGAGCTGCTGTTTTACGCCGCCTGTGTTTGTAACTGCTGGACCGTGTGTCTGTGTGTGTGTGTGTGTCAGAGTGTGTGTAGGAAAGGTGGTGGTGGTGGTGGTGGTATGGGCAGCAGCTGGAGGTGGCATCTCTCCCGCACCATGAGGCTGGCGATGCGTTGGTGCCGAGGCCCACAGAGGGGGGGTGGATGCGGGGGAAACAGACCCTGGATCAGCGGGCGGTGTTTTGAGGTGTGGAGCTACAGCAAGATGCTGCTCAGGTCTCTGTACTTCAACAGCCTCACCAACGCTGACACTCTGCTGGACTGTGCCTTCGAACCAGTCTACTGGATTGTGGATAATGTGACCCGCTGGTTCGGAGTGGTGAGCTGTTGGATATCTATTTGTTCCTATTTGACCCCAAAACAACCCCCCAAAAAACATGATCCTCAATCTTAAACGTAGGTCTGTTAGATGGATCATTTTTTTTGTCGAGTGATTTATTGTCTAAGAAATAATTGCGATTTATATGCCTATATGCTTTTTTTTTAAAGTGTGATTTGGAACGGGTAAAAAATAAGTTGCTTACTTAAAGTGTATCGAGTTCATATTAATATATTGATTATAAATTGATAGCATTAAAAATGAGCGAGTTCATTTTGATGCATTGTACAAGACGACGAAAAACGTAAACATGGTCAAAACCATACAATAATACAATTATGTGAATTTTTTTTGTGTAATGTTGTTAGCCTAAAATGATCGAGTTAATGTCACGGTTGTACAATCAGAATTACGTGAATTTTTTTAAGTAATGTCCGTACATATGTTGATAGCGTAAAAATGATGATGTTCTTGTCCATATATCATACAGTAAGTGTGTGACGTAAGAATTATCATTGTTGTTTCCGTATATCGTACGATAAGTCAAAAAACCATAATGTTGTACGTTTAGTCTATTACGTTAAAAATGATCGAGGTGATGACGATCTAACGATAAGTCAATAACGTAAAAAATATGGAGGCGATGTAAATAATTTGTACAATGAGTCGATGACCTAAAAATGGTGAAGCTAATGTCCATTTATCGTACAATAAGTCAACAATCATGTCCCTATATTGTACGGTAAGTGTATAACTCGAGAATGATCAGTGTTGTTTCCGTATATCGTACGATAAGTCAAAAAAGGTAAAAATAATCGAGTTCATTTCCATGTTTCGTATGTTTAGTCTATTACGTTAAAATGACATAAGCAATGACAATCTTTTTAAGGATAAGTCCATTTCGTCGAAGTAAATAATTCAAGGTCAATCAAGATTATGAAAAATCCTAATATCGTAAAAAAGTCGATAACAAATGGTCAACATCGTACGATAAGTCGTGATTATTTCTCTCTCTTTCTCTCTCAGGTGTTCGTCTGCCTCGTCATCCTGCTGACCACCTCAGTTGTGGTCATCATCTACCTGTTCGTTTTACCCACAATCCTCAGCACCTACCCTCTGTACATGATCGTGTGGCACCTCTGCTACGGCCACTGGCTCCTCGTCATGGTGGTCTTCCATTACTACAAGGCCACCACAACAGCAGCAGGAAGCCCACCCAAGGTTCAAGACCAGATTTATGTTACCAATGTTATGTTAAATGTTTGTTGTTTGTTTTTCATGTATTGATATTTGTCTATGTTGATGTTACACATGGAGCTGCTGTGATGCAAGTCCAATTTCAGACTTGATCTGAACATTAAAGTATTATCGTATCGTATACTGCAATACAGTTCAGCTGAAGGGGTTTTAAATCATTCTTTACATGTTGGTCTTTCTGTGGTAGTAGCTAAGAATTGCTACGGTGGCCCTGAGAGCTCAAAACAAGGCAAATTGAGAGAACATACAAAAAAAACAACTTTCAAAATGTGACATCGTGAAGCATTTAGAAACACAACTGTTTCCAGGGGACAAAATAAGGTGATGCACACGCAGCAATGTCTGTGTTTGTGCCTTGAGAAGTTCATAAAGTCGGCTTTACGTCAATTTAGTTCGAAAAATCTAAAATAAAATATAAGGATGTTATTTTCACCTCCAAAGTTTTGTTTTTCCGTTTATTTTTTGTTTGATTGTCAGAATGATTACGGTAAAACTACTACCATAAATGTCTTGAAACTTGGTGGAAGGGTCAAGCATGGGGCAATTCAAAACATATTGAAATTTAGAGCAAATACTTATTTGTCTTCAATATTTCTTGATCGAAGAGACATTGGAGGAATTTCAGCTTTCCTAATGGCGTTATAGTTTGACCTACTTTGCTGTTTGAGCTCTCAGGGCCACCGTATCTTTGTTATAGATATATATTTGGTATTTTGTTTGTATTTCTTTCTACTTCTGCTACAAGGTGACACTCTTGTTTAGATTGATTTCTGTTCTTAGACGGTAACACATCCTCCTTTGTTTTTGTTTGTTAGGAGAAAACTCAGATTCCAGCGGTGTCCATCTGTAAGAAATGCATCACTCCCAAACCTCCCAGGACGCACCACTGCAGCATCTGCAACCAGTGAGATCATTAAAATAACACTTCTCATCTAAAGAGTAAGCCAGTCTTTGTCTTTTTAATTGAATTTGAACTTTCGTTAATATTACAGGTGTGTTTTGAAGATGGACCACCACTGCCGTATCCTTTCCACAAGAAACACATTTGTTTTTAACTCAAAAGAAGATGCTTTTTAAAGTGTTAATTCCCACTGTATACACATTTCCCTGAGCGTGTTTCCAGCCTGGTTGAATAACTGCGTGGGTCACTTCAACCACCGCTACTTCCTCTCCTTCTGCCTCTACACGACGCTGGGCTGCGTGTACTGCAGCATCAGCAGCAAGGACATGTTCCTAGACGCCTACAACACCATAGAGGTGAGGCAGAGAGTAGTACTTCCTGGGTGTGGGTTACATATCGTATGTGTTGAGGCTTGTTCTAAATCGGGTGTAGTGACAGACACAACACGTGTGTCACATGGTTTTGTATCTGGAAAAACAAAGTGAAGCAAAAGGCGAGTTTATAGCCATTAAAGGTCACCTATTATGCAAAATCCACTTCTTCATGTCTCTTCTACATCAACATGTGTCCCCTCTTCTTCATGTCTCTTCTACATCAACATGTGTCCCCTCTTCTTCATGTCTCTTCTACATCAACATGTGTCCCCTCTTCTTCATGTCTCTTCTACATCAACATGTGTCCCCTCTTCTTCATGTCTCTTCTACATCAACATGTGTCTCCTCTTCTTCATGTCTCTTCTACATCAACATGTGTCCCCTCTTCTTCGTGTCTCTTCTACATCAACATGTGTCCCCTCTTCTTCGTGTCTCTTCTACATCAACATGTGTCCCCTCTTCTTCATGTCTCTTCTACATCAACATGTGTCCCCTCTGTGGAAAGAGACTCTGAAAGTTTCAGGAACAAAGATTCTCTCTCTTTTTTTGTAACCATTAGCCAATCAGCAACTAAGGTAAACCCCCCCCCCCCCCCCCCCCCCCCCCCCACCTTATCACCTGAATCTCCTCCTAGAGCACCAATAGGCGCACCAAGTACTTCTCCCCGGAACTTTTATTTCCTGGAACTATCTACTAAATCGCGTTCACACCGGAATAAGTCCCTGAGGGAGCCGCTGGCGTCACTTCTTCTTCTTCTGCTTTGGCTTTACTGGCAGACCGCAAACCACTTCACGCCGTATACTGCCACCCGAAGTCCCCGGCCGGAAGTCCCCGGAGTTGGGGAAGGCTTCAGTAGAAGCTGCTGGGACTCCCAGCAGCTTCTACTGAAGCCTTCCGAGTAAATCGCCAGAACGCCGACACCTCCTCATCTCCACCGCTCCCATGTTTTTTTTTGTTGTGTTGCGCGGGGCTAATGCTAATAATGCTAATGCCAGCAAATACAATGGCGGCTTCACAAAACTTTTCCGAGTTTTACGGGGCGTGGTTTGCAATTCGCCCAGCCAATCAGAAATTGGAACCTTTTTCTCCCCAGGAAAGTACCTGCTCTCTAGCAGGGACTAAAAAGGGGGTGAAAAGGTTCGCAAAAAAAAGTTCTAGTTCCAGATCTTTTTGGTGTGAACGCAAAATCCCAGGAACTATCGGAACTATTCCTGGGAAAAGTACTCCGGTGTGAAAGCGCCTATTGTGTTATTTGTAACCAAATGTCTCTCAGAGGGGCGTGGGGAGGGGCTCCTTATTTTCATCTAAAGTAACAGACAGAGAATCAGCACTTTGGAAACAGGGCTGAAACAGAGGGGATTATGGGTAATGCTGCAATGATCTGTTTGGTGTTTCAGCCAATCAGAGACAGGTTATGTATATATCTGAGACCTATGATATATTGATGAAAAACTGGATAATAGGGGACCTTTAAATTCAGAACGGTAATGGAAGGTCCCAGACTCTAGTTTGGAGAAGACGGACAAACTAGTCCCTTTGTTTCTGTGGTACATTTTATACGAGGCATTACGGTAAGAGCGTGTGACAACTGACTTCAGAATAAAAGCGACATCTGGTCAACGTGGTTCGCAAGTCCTTCTTTCAATAATTACAAAAAATGTGATAAATGAAATATCAATCAGGTAAATAATGAGTCAAAGTCAATAAAGAGTGCATTTCCACAGACTTCAAAATGTTTGCAGTCACCTAAAAATTGTAATTGTAGAAAATATCAAAACATTCATAATTCAAAGTGAGTTTCAAATTAAAAGCACCTTTTAAAATAAACAAATGAAATAGCCATGTTCCCTCTAAATTCTGATGTGAGACCAGAAGGATCATGTTAGTAAAATCATATGAAAGGGTAATAAAACATTTAACTGTTAAGATAATATAAAGAAACAATGAAGATATTGAGGCTACTGTCCCCTGATAAAACCGGCTGTGTTGTTGCTGCTAATGGTATCCTACACTTAAGACTGTTGTCAGTCTAAGTAGCGATGACAAGATGTTTTGCTGGGTGGCATCTGTTAGACGCAGATGAGGTCAGATGAGGTCAGAGAAGCTCAGATGGCACACGAGGAAACAGGAGACAGGAAGAGGATCTGAGCTTTCTCTCATATCAAAGGTTGAGCAGCAGCAGGTAAACAAACAGCGTGAGGGCTCTGAGTACAAATTAGCTGAAAGTTTAGAAGTCCTCGCCTCCCGAAGACCACTTCACGAGGAACAGGATCCAGATTGTTGGACTCGTAGCATACCTGTAGTCTTGAAGCAGAGCCAAAATTAAAGAAAGGAAACCCTGAGAGGCAAAAATAATATCAGTGATCACATTTTTTTGTTTCAGCTAAATTGTCTTTCCCCCCGTTTCTATGACTTAAAGGGGGCCTATCATGCAAAATGCACTTTTTTATGTCTTTTATTCATAAATATGTGTCCCCGGTGTGTCGGGGAACTCACGCAGCGTCAGGAAATAAAACCCTCTCTCTTTTCCTCCGTACCCAAATCTCTAAAAACGGGGAACAACGGAGCTGATCCAGATTTGCGTCCGATATGACGTAATATCTGAAATGTGGACCCACGGCCCAATCAGAAACGTTGCTATCAGAAACAATGCCCGACTGTTTTGGACGTAATATGGTCGGTGTTTACATTAGCATCGCTAACACTCAGAGCTAACCTGTACTGGAGAGCATGTATGTGAAGAAGCAGGAAGTAAAAAGGAACTCACCTTGTGGTATAACCAGCAAGAGAGAAAGCCTTTGAGCTCCAAACTGTTTCAGAGAGAATCCTTGATAATCCATGATATGGCGTTTCATCACGGCAGCATTTAGTTTAGGCAGTAGCTGCCGGGTCCCCATGAGCTCAGCCCCTCCTTTTTTATTTTTTAAAGCTTTATACCCAAATCAGCACTTTTGAAACAGGAAGTGAAATCGAGGGATATGAGGCATGGCTAGAATGGGTGATCTGTTTGGTATTTTGAGCAAAACACTTCATAGACATGTTTTGTATATATCTGAGGCCTATGCTATTGCCTAAAGATAGCATGATAGGTGACCTTTAAGAACATGTAAAAAAAAGAAGAGGTATATATAAAGAAGTATAATCTTAGAAATCTTAGAAAATACTCACAAAGAAATCAAGTAATTACGAATTTCCAAGTGTTTCTATCCCATTTTGTGCACTTTAGACACAAGGTATCTGTGTTGTCTGTTAGCATGTTATGTCAAATAGCTGTCATTGCTTTTTTTTGGCTGAAAATGTATTTTAGTCGGTGCTAATCAAGCGCTTTTAGTCCTGTTGACATTTGATGTTGGACTCGTAGCGTACCCGAAAGCACAGTTTTGAATCAGAGCCAACATTTAAAGGTGAAACCTTGAGAGGCGAGGGAAACAAATAATATCCGTGATCAAATTTATTTTTGTTTGAGCTAAATTGTATTGTTCCCGTGCTCATGACTTAAAGGTGGGGTAGGTAAGTTTGAGAAACCGGCTCGAGATACACTTTTTGTTATATTCCATGGAATGCTCTTAACATCCCGATAGCCATGAATATCTGAAGTGCTTCAATCCATAAATAAATATCATCTGTGGTGCCAGGGCCGGACTGGGACAATAAGTCAGGCCGGGAATTATACACCCAGCCAGGCCACTACCAGTTTTTTGTGCCATTTTGCTGGATTTATTTGTCAATATTTACAGCGTTGCTGCCCGTAGTGATAGCCCTCTAAATCTACTACCCAAAAATAAACATATGGACATGGGTTACTATTTAAAAAAAATGTGCAAATCTATTTAGGAACGTTTGTGAACATATTTTAAGTGGGGGTGGACCTCAACTCCTATAGGGGGGTCCGGGGGCATGCTCCTCCGGTAAGATTTTTGTTTAATGTTGGACTTAAATGCATCAATCTGGTGCACTTTGAGGGGGAAATAAAGATACTACACCCATATGAAACATAACTGTATACATTTAAATAATCATAAAATCATAAGAACATGGCCATAACCAATAACATACCATATCCAATATGGAAAAACATTGAAACTTGTTTATTTATTTGTTTTTGGTTCATTTATAGTTGTGAGTGTGTCTGGGCTCCTGAACCAGCCTCTCCTGTCTCCCCCCTCTCTCCTGTCTCCCTCCTCTCCCCCTGCTCCTCTTTGAGGCAGCAGCAAAGACTAGTTTTAGCTCTCAACAAGTTTTAATAGTTTATCTTACCTTTTTTCACCTAGTTAACGTTTTTATTTTTTTTATTATTCATGCATATTTTACTAATCACTCCCCCCTCAAATGGAAATATGTGTTTACATAAATGGTGACCAAACCGTTTGTGACCCACAGAGATAACTTAGACTAAGTTAACTATCTAAACACTCAGAGAGTCCTTTACCTCACCTGAGCTGAGGTTATCAGTCTCTCAGTCTGACAGCAGAGGACTCTCCTCCACCTTATATCCGTTAGCGCAGCTAGCTAGCACCAGATGCTAACAACAACAACAATACACGTAACCGGTGCGCGTGCTTTATCTCACTCGCTCGCGCCACACATAACACACACCCTCCCGAGCTTGAATGACACACAGAGACCAATCGAGGGCATTAGTATGATCTGTATGAAAGTGGCCATGTCGGCAGGCCACATCATGTAGACAGCCAGTCACCCTCTGTGAGGCAGAGTCAGACCCACATTTGCGCAGCGTTGCGTTCACAATACATAGACCTACATAAAAAAAAAAAAGTCCTCAGACCAGCAGGCCACTTAGCAGGCCAGGCCATCGGGAAACCTCCCGGTCCTCCCGATGGCCAGTCCGGGCCTGTGTGGTGCTGTAAAAAGCACGACCAATCATATGAGCCTGCCCGGCTAAAGTAACTGGATGGCCTACCTGCCTGTCAGCCTTCCATCTGGGCACAAACTTATCTCGTGCTCTCATTGGTCATGTGCGCGTTCGTGTGTGTTGGAGGCGGGGCTCTGTGAGGAAGTGGCAGATTTTTTCCGGCTGTTATTTTCTAATTCTAGCGCACTCGAGCTGCTTTCTCCAAAAGTACCTACCCCACCTTTAAGAACATGGAAAAAAAGAGGTTTCACAAGTATAATCTTTCAAAGTTCCTTCTCTCATGTGATTATTGTTAAGTTGTATGGAAACAGGTATAAGAAAATGTGCAGGAAATATATCCTACACATTTCTGAATCTTAGAAAATACTCTCAAAGAAATCAAGTAATTACTAGTTTCCAAGTGTTTCTCTCCCATGTTGTCTGTTAGCATGTTATGTAAAATAGCTGTCATTGCTTTTTCTTTGGCTGAAAATGTATTTTAGTCGGTGCTAATCAAGAGCTTTTAGTCCTGTTAAAGGTAGGGTAGGTAAGAATGGAGAAACCAGCTCGAGTGCGCTAGAATTTGAAAATACACAGCCGGAACAAATCTGCCACTTCCTTACAGAGCCCCTCCTCCAACACACACGGACGCGCACATGACCAATGAGGGCACGAGATAAGTTTGTGCCCAGATGGAAGGCTGACAGGCAGGTAGGCCATCCAGTTACTTTAGCCGGCTCAGATGATTGGTCGTGCTTTTTACAGCGCCACGGCTTCCACTGATGACATTTGTTTATGGATTTATTGTCAAAGCATTTAAGATATTCATTGCTATCGGGATGTTGAGAGCGTTTCTGAAGTGAATTACCTACCCCACCTTTAACATGTGATAGTGGTGCATTTCTGTGATAGTGATCATATTAAGTATTACAACAACAAACACCTTTTTTCACAGATGAAGGCAAGTTAGAAAATGTTCCTGTGAATACTTTAGTTCGTTTCACAGATTAAAAATACTAACATTTAAGGAATTTAGAAAAACTATCCTGTCCAAATCAAGAGAAAACTATTTAGATTTGACCTAAAAAAAGAAGAATAAGAATTGTTTTTCCCAATTTGGCTCTCAGGGCTTCCGTACCTCAGAAAGCAGCGAGCTAAATCCTCCTCGGATCAGAACAAGAAGTGAAATAAATCCATTTGTGACGACAGTATAAATATAATAACCGGATTATCTTTTGTCTTTTTCAGAGATACTACCAGACCCCTCCTCCCACCGAGCCCTACGTCGAGTCCACGGCTCACAAGAGCATCATCTTCCTCTGGGTGCTGACCAGGTGAGGAACGCTTTATAATTCCTCCATGTTTAATCGGATAAAGGTGGATAACAGACAGAGATGGCAAAAGTACACACATCCTTTCTTCAAGTAGAAGTACAGATACTCGTGTTTAAAAATACTCTGGTAAAAGTAGAAGTACTGACTAAACTTCTTTACTCAAGTGAAAGTAAAGAGGATTTGAAGTGTACTTCAGTAGAAAGTACCCATAACTAGCAGCTGTTTTAAAGAGTACCTGACCTCCCTTTATATTAATAGAACAATAATGTCATTGTTAGCTAATGAATGTTTCCATGCTGAACAACGGCAACATGACAACGTTTCCATTGGTCCCTCTTCTTTAGAGAAGACCAGGAAATGATGGATACACGGATCGTGTTCAAATCAATAGGCACGCAATGACTCTAAAGAATAATGATCACGCATCAAACACACATTCAGACTAAAGGAACCAGCTGTTTGGAAAATGAGAGAAGTAGAAAGTACAGGTATTTGTGTTCAACATGTAAGAAGTAGAAAGTACAGGTATTTGAGTTCAACATGTAAGAAGTAGAAAGTACAGGTATTTGTGTTCAACATGTAAGAAGTAGAAAGTACAGGTATTTGAGTTCAACATGGAAGAAGTAGAAAGTACAGGTATTTGAGTTCAACATGTAAGAAGTAGAAAGTACAGGTATTTGGGTTCAACATGTAAGAAGTAGAAAGTACAGGTATTTGTGTTCAACATGTAAGAAGTAGAAAGTACAGGTATTTGAGTTCAACATGTAAGAAGTAGAAAGTACAGGTATTTGAGTTCAACATGTAAGAAGTAGAAAGTACAGGTATTTGAGTTCAACATGTAAGAAGTAGAAAGTACAGGTATTTGTGTTCAACATGTAAGAAGTAGAAAGTACAGGTATTTGAGTTCAACATGTAAGAAGTAGAAAGTACAGGTATTTGTGTTCAACATGTAAGAAGTAGAAAGTACAGGTATTTGGGTTCAACATGTAAGAAGTAGAAAGTACAGGTATTTGTGTTCAACATGTAAGAAGTAGAAAGTACAGGTATTTGAGTTCAACATGTAAGAAGTAGAAAGTACAGGTATTTGTGTTCAACATGTAAGAAGTAGAAAGTACAGTTATTTGAGTTCAACATGGAAGAAGTAGAAAGTACAGGTATTTGGGTTCAACATGTAAGAAGTAGAAAGTACAGGTATTTGAGTTCAACATGTAAGAAGTAGAAAGTACAGGTATTTGAGTTCAACATGTAAGAAGTAGAAAGTACAGGTGTTTGTGTTCAACATGTAAGAAGTAGAAAGTACAGGTATTTGAGTTCAACACGTAAGAAGTAGAAAGTACAGGTATTTGTGTTCAACATGTAAGAAGTAGAAAGTACAGGTATTTGGGTTCAACATGTAAGAAGTAGAAAGTACAGGTATTTGGGTTCAACATGTAAGAAGTAGAAAGTACAGGTATTTGAGTTCAACATGTAAGAAGTAGAAAGTACAGGTATTTGGGTTCAACATGTAAGAAGTAGAAAGTACAGGTATTTGTGTTCAACATGTAAGAAGTAGAAAGTACAGGTATTTGTGTTCAACATGTAAGAAGTAGAAAGTACAGGTATTTGTGTTCAACATGTAAGAAGTAGAAAGTACAGGTATTTGGGTTCAACATGTAAGAAGTAGAAAGTACAGGTATTTGTGTTCAACATGTAAGAAGTAGAAAGTACAGGTATTTGTGTTCAAAATGTGAGAAGTAGAAAGTACAGGTATTTGTGTTCAACATGTGAGAAGTAGAAAGTACAGGTATTTGAGTTCAACATGTAAGAAGTAGAAAGTACAGGTATTTGAGTTCAACATGTAAGAAGTAGAAAGTACAGGTATTTGTGTTCAACATGTAAGAAGTCAAAGTAAAAAGTCGTCAGAAAAATAAGTAGTGGAGTAAAGTACTGATACCAAAAAAATGTACTTAAGTACAGTAACGAAGTATTTGTACTCCACTACTTCCCACCTCTGATGACAGAGCTCTTGATGTGTTCTCCCTGCAGCTCGGTGTCCGTGGCTCTGGGAGCTCTCAGCCTCTGGCACATGATCCTGATCAGCCGAGGAGAAACCAGCGTGGAGCGACACATCAACCACAAAGAGACCCGCCGGCTGAGGGACATCGGAAAGGTACCGCTGACGGAGTGAAATATATCAAACTATAGGCTTACATATCATTGGTATCTCTGCAGCTCTGGAGATGGTGTTTAAGTTTCTTGTGTTTTCTAACGCAGGTTTTCAAAAACCCATATCATCACGGGACGATGAACAACTGGAAGTTACTGCTGGGGGTGGAAAAAAGGAGGTGAGTTCAATTACGCAGGAAAATGTGATTAGAATTTAATTTATAGTTAATTACAGCACTAGCAGTTTAAAATTATATACCTCAATTTTGTATTATATATAATCATTTAGCTGTGGAAAAACAACATTGGGGATATGGTATAAATAGTATAATAAATGATTATAGTTTAATACTATATATTTTAAAAAACTAAATATTTAAAGAGTTTAGATTCTGAACATTGATGAATAGTTAGTATTAATGATCAGGACAGATGTCGGGTAAACATTTCACTAAGTTCAATTAAAGTAATATTAACATCTTTTTATGGGATTTTTCAACAGTTGTCCTCGAACTAAACAACCTTTTCTCAAAGATTTCCCTGTGTTTCAAAGTGATTTCAACATTTTCAGCAGGCACAATTCCTACTTAAAGGTCACCTATCATGCTATTTTTAGGCAATAGCATAGGTCTCAGATATATATAAATATATAAAAAACATGTCTATGAAGTGTTTTGCTCAAAATACCAAACAGATCACCCATTCTAGCCATGCCTCATATCCCTCTATTTCACTTCCTGTTTCAAAAGTGCTGATTTTGGGTATAAAGCTTTACAAAGATTGATAAAAGAGGAGGGGTCTGAGCTCATGCGGGACCCGGCAGCTACTGTCTAAACTAAATGCTGCCGTGATGAAACGCCATATCATGGATTATCAAGGATTCTCTCTGAAACAGTTTGGAGCTCAAAGGCTTTCTCTCTTGCCGGTTATACCACAAGGTGAGTTCCTTTTTACTTCCTGCTTCTTCACACACATGCTCTCCAGTACAGGTTAGCTCTGAGTGTTAGCGATGCTAATGTAAACACCGACCATATTACGTCCAAAACAGTCGGACATTGTTTCTGATTGGGCCGTGGGTCCACATTTCAGATATTACGTCATATCGGACGACAATCTGGATCAGCTCCGTTGTTCCCCGTTTTTAGAGATTTGGGTACGGAGGAAAAGAGAGAGGGTTTTATTTTCTGACGCTGCATGAGTTCCCTGACACACCGGGGACACATGTTTATGAATAACAGACATCAAAAAGTGCATTTTGCATGATAGGTCCCCTTTAAAGTGACTTTACCACAATTCCAGTTTGAATGTTTTTCAAATAAACAAATATGTGAATCCAGCTATTTTATCCTTCTGTCTTCAGTCACTGGTTCACCCGGGTCCTCCTGCCCTCCAGCCACCCCCCCAACGGAGACGGCATCCTGTGGGAGTTCAGCTTCAGCAGGAGAGACCCCATGGCCATCTGACCCTCACCTTTGAACCTTATCAACGAGCATTTACACCACAATCAGATCGGACAGAGAAGCTCCTGCAGCAACGAGGGGACAGAAGCTCTGTCGTTGCACCGTGTGAACAGGGGACTACATGAGGAAAACACTTGTTCTGAAGCTCCGTCATCCTTTCCCACCCGTCTCCATCTGAACACTTTGTCACCCTGCGACTGCAACGCTGACTTATTAGATTTATAAACGTTGCTGCTGGCCAGCACCGTTGTAAATCCCAAACTCACCCTCCTTTCCATTTGTAGTAGACACAAACAAATGACTTTGAGCACCTCAAATGTTGCACTGAGAGGAAAGCCTTTTTTTTTCTTCATACAATGTTTTTGTAAGATGACAGATGGAGGATAACGCAGATTTGGAGACCCCAATATCTACAGATACGGCACATTAAAGGTGCTCATGTTGAAGCTTCATCAAGATGGATAATGCAGCTCCTTTAATAATGTGGCACTGTGGATATTTGAGCCCGTAATAACGAGACTGACATCTTGAAATATTTTCAATGTTCATTTTGTTCTACATGTCCTGTGAGTGTTTAGATAACTGTCATTTTCAAGTTTACTTCTCTGCATGTTTACTTTGCCGTTGTGTTCAGTGCTAACGAGATTAAGAATCTGGTATCAAAAGAGAGCGAAAACCAAAAGATGTATTAACTTTTTTTTATTATGTTTTTCTGCTTTAGGTAAAGAAAGGAAAAACCGCACAGCATCTTTTTATCATCAACATTTCTGATAAATTGTTGTGTGCCTTGTTTGGTTAAAGTTGTGTGACATTCCTGATTTCTTTTTTAACGTGTTTGTACTGATAACTTAAAGATGGGTGATTGGACCCATAGTTGCCACAGAAACATGACGTACAGCTGTGATATCATGTGTAACCAATGAGAGCTGTGCTCCAGTTTCAAATGTAATTTGTCCTTTTTTTTTTTTTTAATAAAAAGTTTGATATTAAAGTGTTTTCTTCTCTATGTGAAGCTCCGTGGAGCCGTTCCTCACACACTCAATCTTTCCTCAGCTGCAGCTCCGCCGATTTCTCCTCCCTGAGACGGCGGGACGCCCGAGGCTGTGAGCAGTGAGCACACACACAAACTCCCAGCCAGGCTGCGGGTGTGTGTGTTCGGGCTGGGTTTAGCTGTGTCTCGCAGAAGGGAAGAAGAGCTCCAACAAGCCATTTGGGACAGAGTGAATACACATACTATACAGATGAGTATGAGAAACCAATGTGAGTTTGGAACATTGCACAATATAAATCTATTTTAGTAGACCTCAACAATGGAATTATGATCAGTAGAAATGGCCATGACATGGGACCATACTTGCCAACCCTGAGACCTCAGAAATCGGGAGCATTTCAAAACCACCGCGGGGGGGGGGGGGCTAGTGGATCGCCGGAGCTGTATTAGCTTAACATTAACATGCTTATTGTAGTTGTTAGTGCACTGTCTTGGAAATGGAAAGGAGTGAGCAGAGGGTAGAGTTGTCGATTCTTGTTCGGTTTACTGTGACTCTCTTCCTCACCCTCTCAGACTGTCAGTTGCGCTACCATGGAAACCAAACAATGGTGTAGCTGTATTAAAGTCCGAGTGGAAACAGTCCTGAGTAAATCTGATTTTGTCAGAAATCGGGAGAAATATGACCCCGGGAGGAAACCGGGAGAGGGCAATAAAATCGGAGGGTTGGCAAGTGTGCATGGGACATGTTCAAAGTAACTGCTCTTACAGGAAGCTCAGCTCAGGGTGAGGCTCGTTATTTTTCAACATAAAAGCCCCAGAAAGTAATAATACAGCTACTGCTATCAATAGCTACTTAGCGCTAGCAATATTAGCTCAGGGACCGATACCATTACCAAGTAAGTCGATATATTAATAGGGAAATGTTCTACTTTACCTTTAGGAGATAAAAAGCCATTACTTTATTGTTTTTATCCTGTGATAGTTGAAATATTTAGCTTATGTCTTTAGTTGTAGCTAAAACCACGTTTGAAAGTTCGACATTTGTACAAACGTTGAAGAAAACCCCCCAAAATGTTTCTGAGATATCGCACTAAAGAGAAAATACATACATACGGACGACATTTAATGCATTTTGTATAATAAATGTTTTAATGACATTTTAAATATCGTCTTTTTCCTTGGCATAAGTTGCTGTGAGGTCCAAAGTGAGCCAACCTTTCTTCAGCAAGGATTCGACAATAACACCAATATTAGTTTAAATATTGAGCGAAAAAAAGGCAGGTGTTTAACAAGATGTTCACTCAACTTACAATCTTAAATTAACCCCAACATTTATGTAAAATGTGTGTTAAAAATCAGTGGAGGTCGAGCACAATTGGCACACATTCAACACCTCCCAGTGACACGAATCAAACGCACCCACCGCTGCTGTTTGCACACGTTACTTCTACACATTCATCCAGATAAGAGAATAGCGCTCAGTGCTGTAAGTAGTGGAAAAGAAAATATATGATTTTTTAAGAAGCAGAAACTCTCAAAATGGTCATAAAGTAAAACAAAATAAAGAAAATGTTGCTACCAGGTCATGATACTTTCCCATTCAAAGTCTGTACGGTGTTAACTTCCTCTCTGTGTATAGGAGATCAAACATACAACCTATTTAACAGAGACATTTTGAATTTGAGACTTTAACTACTAGATCTGAACACGTTTAATTAGGTTAAGAATTTAAAAAAGACGCATTTGTTTTATTACCTCTTCGAACCAGGATGTTTTTAGTTTCTTTTCTCCATTTTGTTTACAGACTTAAAGAAAAGCGTCTCCGAATTTAATGAAACTTGTTTGAATACTCAATTAAATATATATATTGATTTGTTCATCTACTAACGAGGATGTTTCCGGCTTCTTTTCTCTGTTTTCTTTGCAGAATTACAGAAAAACGACTGAGATTTTTTACGAAATGTGTTGGAAGTAGTCGTTTAAACCAAAGAGGAGCCCATAACATCTTGGAGTGACCTTGTAAGAAACCCTAAGGATACATTTGACTTTATTATTATGACAGAGCTCTTATTCTTGAGATCTGAAATGTAATTGATGTCACATTCTTCAAACTATGAACAACCCAAATGCCTCCATGATGTTACCTTTCCTCCGATACAAAAAGAGAAAGACAACGACGTACACGAGGCGTTACACATTTCAAAACAAGCTGCTTATTTTCTTTCTTACACTTCGATAATGCTCCAGTCAGTCCACATATTCTCTTACTTGTGCGTTTATGAACAGACAGTTAGGACAAAAACATCTCAGTAAAAAAGGAGAGGAGTCTGGAAGGACCAAAGACAGTTCACGAAGAGTGTGTGATCTGATTTCCCACTTTATCTGAAATCTTCCAGGTTTAGAGTGGAGGGAGACTCGGGATGTGTTTGAGGAGCAGAATCAACTTCCAACCAGGAACCTGTGAGGGAAATGAGAAAAGAAACCTTGTTGTTACAAACTAACAATGAATACACAGTGTTTATTTGGCATATGACCAATTCAATTGCATTGTCAGGGTGTTTCATGAATGAAAAACACAACAGAGCTTCAAGATTTAGTTTAATAATCTGCTAAAATGCCTCCTGGGAAAAAGACAGCTTATCTTATTTACTTTTTCTGTTTTTAAGAGCATTGATATTTCACTTCTTTCAGGGTATATGCAGGAATCCTGAAGTCAAATGTAAGACCTTTTTTAAGACCCTTTCCATACATTCTAAGACCTCATCTCCACTTGGAGTTCTAACCGGTTACCTTGGCGACACACTTTACCTCACATTCACTATATACAGTATTGATTGTCCTTCCTCCTTATCTTCCAACCATTTGGACGCAGACTTGCATTTCCCCATAACGATGTTGTTTAACAACCGGCGTAAACGGACCTTCGCGCTATCAAGCAGTGAGCGCGCGATGTCCTGTTCAGATGACGTGAAATCCAACGGGATGCCATCAATAAACTACACAGAATCACACTACACACCTACGCCATGATTACATTCAGGCAGACTGTAGAATACAACCTCTTTGGACCATTTATATACTTATTGAAAACAAGCTACAACATTTAATACCTTGGAAAATGCCGTTTAATACTTTTTAATAGCCTTAATTTTCGCTAAATTGATTTATCAACTTGTAATACTTGTTAAGACCCCGCGGACCCTCTGTGTAATAACTGGCTGCTACTTCAATACTTTTATATGTTCGCTCTATTTGTAATGGTACTACTTATTCTTTTAGCATGCACGTGTATTTTCTAACGTGTGTTTCTTTATTTAATATTGTAGATCAGTCTTTTATTTTGCCTTTTTCTCTCTATTGTCCCCTTTGTTTAAACAATGTAAATGTTTCTGACTGAATAAAGTGATAATGAGCCAGAAACTTTCCGATAAGCAACTAATCCACTGGAACAAAGAGCTGTGTCATGAAACATGTGATGCATTGTGATTTTTTATGTATTGCAGATGTTAAATATCTAGATTCATTGTTTATTGTTTCGTCACCAGTCGTTTCGTGCGTGCACCGCCTCTCTCCTCACGAGCCGCTTCCTGTCGTCCAGCGGGCGGGCGAGAGCTCGCAGAACCCGGGCTCGAACCGGCAGGATCTGGAGCGGGAAGAAAATAATATTGAGAGAGAAACATAACAGTCATTCCAACTCATTTCCATCCCCAAAGAAATGTCAACAAAATGGTCGAATTTGCTGTGTTTCTATCAGCATATATGGAGGCGTGTGGCGCAGTGGATAGAGCCTTGGTGTTGGGATCAGGGGGTCACAGGTTCAAACCCCACTGCAGTCAGCATGTCGTTGTGTCCCTGAGACACTTCACCCCAAATTGCTCCTGTGGGGATTGCCCACAGTATTGAGTATGTAAGTCGCTTTGGATAAAAGCGTCTAATAAGTGACATGTAATGTAATGCATATACTATACTATTCTGGTGAGAAAACCATAGGTTATACAGCATTCAACTGATATAACACAACCTGTACATCACAGCTGACCAGACAATGAATATTGAAGTTAAATCAAATCTTAATTGATTGAAGTATCCACATTTTTAAGGAATCATCTAGGCTTTCTCTGTGTACAAAACATAACTTCCTCAAAGCTTATTTTGATCTAAGTGCAGAGACTCAATGTGAGATAATACTTGATCAGTTACCTCATGTTCAGGGAACTGGGAAACAGCGTGGATGCACCGCAGTGAGGAGATCCTTACTTCCTGTATGAAAAGGAAAACACATTTTTAAATATTAATACCAATATTTGCAGCATCTAAAACAAATTGGGTATTTTCTTTTCTACATCAGTGGTGGGGATTTCAGAGAGAAGAACTGGGACATGCCATGGTCTCAGGTGTATGAGGTCACATGGTCTCAGGTATATGATGATGTCACTGACCATGTCGGGACTGCCGGTGAGGGCCAGCAGGCGGCCAATCAGAGCCTCCAGCTGCTGGATCAGGGAGGGGGGCGGGTCGACGAGGACGGGCTGCAGGCAGGACAGCGTGGAGAGCTGGACCCCCAGATCAGGACAGGAGAGAGCCTCCAGCAGCAGGGACAGCAGCTACACACACACACACACACACTTATCATCTATATCTTTATGAAGAGGAAGGCTGCTGTAGTTGAAGGAGGGTTGTGACTCACCGCTGGGAGCTCCGTGAGCTGGACTTGCTTTGGCAGCTTGTTGACGATGTTAGACAGAGCCTTCAGGAAGTTAGGCTTCTTCTCTGCAGAGGAAACACATACAGAACATTGTTATCATATTTGTGTCTGTATGAAATGCTTTGGTATTATTAATAATGCCACGTGTTATGATGTCTGTTTTTGTTTATAATGTCACGAGTTCTTATCATGGACAGTGGCGGAGCCAGGACATTTTCAGTGGGGTGGCCAGGATGGAACCAGTGATCATTTTGGGGTGGCATTGAAATCACTATTATATGAACATAAAAATACATCTCACTAGAAAATAAGGGGTTATTTAAGGCACCTACAACACACCTCTACATTATTTGGGATTAAGTGATGGAATAAATCAAATAATATTCAGTATATCTAACTATTTTTTTCGTATTCCTGCAGTCAAAGTATCAACGAAGCTTACATTATACAAATGTAATGCAATATAGAGACTGTTTAGCTTATGGTGATCAGCAGCACTATGAGCTCATTCTCTCAGTGTATTCTCGTATCATCAGGAATACAGAGACACACACGCATCATTTAAATAAGATTTTTTAAATTAAATGATAGGTTAAGAATAAACATCTTAAAGTAAATAACAATAAACAATAGCCCTTAACCCTGTAAGGCGGGCCCCGGTTGTAATTTGACAACATTACTTGAAGCTATCCTTAAAAAAGTCAGTAAATGTTTTGTTTTTTTAAAAGACTACATTTACATAGTCAAAAGGTCCTTTTGTTCAGCCTCACAATGCTATTGGGTAGTAAATGTGTTATAGGCAGTGTTGTGCTAGTTACTGAAAACCAGTAACTAGTTACCATTGCTAGTAACTAGTACTTCATTTAAAAGTAACGCAGTTGCTTTACTAGTCACATAAAAAGTAATGCGTTACTGTGAAAAGTAACGTTTACGTTACTTACAAAAAGGGGGCCCATTAATGCCCTTATAGCCTTCATTTCAGTACTGTCATTGCATTGGAGAATAATACAATCTGTTGATCAACTTGACATGCATTATATGCAATCTGGATTGCATCGATATGAGCTGGCTTTCCATTTCTGTATATTCTTTCTCCAGGTAGTTGGAAAAAGTGTTCCGTCCCATATGCCGTGTCCCGCCCGGACATGCTATCATGCTAACTAGCTCCCTGAAAGCGGGTGACTCCACTGTAGCAATAGCCTGCATGTGTTCTACAACATACCGTGCAATGGCTTTATCGACTTTTCCCTGGCTAGCAGTCCCTCGGTTAAAATCCAGCCGCTGTTGCTTAGGTGGAGGTGGAGTGGCGTCGGCTGAGTCTCTGTGGTCTTAGCTACTAGCTTCGTCCCAGCATGTTGTTTTTGCAGATGTTTTAAGAGATTTTAATTACTGGTTTGGGCAGTAGATAGGATCTTTGACCCGCCAGGACACAACTTACATTTAACTAAAACGTTATTTTCTTTGTGCTCGACAAAAGTGAAATAGTGAGAATATCTCCAGGTGGAGAAACTAGACTTGAGCTCCGCCGCCGCCATGATAGTCTTGTTAGTAAACAACAGAGGTGGGACCAAGTCATTGTTTTGCAAGTCCGAGTCAAGTCTCAAGTCAGGATGGGCAAGTTCAAGTCAAGTCAAGTCCTAAACTTTGACAAAACGAGTCATAAACAAGTCATTGTGTGTTTTTCACCAAATGTAATGACATCGATCAACAGAATAATACTTAATAATCAAACTGCTCTTTATTAGTCACATTAATCATTTAATAATCCATTTTCTCTCTGCTGGTAAAGTAACGTGTTTTTTTCTAATTTAAGAGGGATCAGTAAGGTTAGGCTACCGTGACGGTTTGATTCAGAAGGAGTTTAATGTATAAGATCCCTGATGTTGAGGTAACCAGAATGTTTATTTCCACTGTGTACAACATGTTATAAGGGACCCACAATCTATCTTTATGCAAGGGATAATGTGCAGCGAGGCGGTCTCTATGGGGAAGAGAACACCTGCATCTAGATCCCTCTGCAGGTGGTACTTTAAGTATATTTTGATGCTAATACTTTTGTACTTTTACTTGTAACATTTTGAATGCAGGACTTTTTATTGTACAGGGTTCCTGCAGGTTTCGCCAACTCAAATTTAGACTTTTTAACACCTTTTTAAGACCACTTTGAATAGAATTTAAGACCTATTTCACGGCAATAAAGTATGAAGGAAAATGTATATAAAGAAGAAATACGTCCCACAATCACTTACAAAGTAAATGTATTCATGTTCAACATAAGAACAGTGACTGAACACAACAGCGTAACAGTACAGAACTGAGTTAGCGTGTTAGACAAAAAGTGTGTATGTGTGTGCGTCTGTGTGTGCTTGAGTGTGTGTGTGTGTGTTAGGGCTGTGCAATTAATCATATTTTAATCGCAATTACGATTTTGGCCTGCCACAATTATGAAAACAACATAATCGTAAAAAACGATTATTTTGCTTTGCTAGGTTGTGACAGTGCACCACAACATATTTGATCTAATGAATTTTTTAGTAATGTATTATTTAATTAATTTTTGTATTGGTTTTTCAGTTGAATTATACGTTCAGGGTAATCAACAGTTAAAAAGATACTGTTCAAATTATTATCTGTTTTAAAGTTCAATAAATGGATGTTTTCAAAGTCAATGAATAATCATATTTAATAATCGTGATATTAATTATTGACCAACATAATCTTGATTATTGCCATAATCGAGCAGCCCTAGTGTGTGTGTGTGTGCGTGTGTGTGTGTGTGTGTGCGTGTGTGTGTGTGTGTGTGTGTGTGTGTGTGTGTGTGTGTGTGTGTGAGAGAGAGTGAGCTATATTCAGAGCTCTGCTGCCTTGGCTACACTATTTCATCGTTGCTGTTGTATGATTGGTGTTTAGCTGCGGTATTTAGCGTCTACAGCACCTCCGCTTTTAGGGTTGACGTAGACCCAAACTTCGCCCGGAGGTCCCCCGGTGTTGTTGCGGGAGCTGCTGCATTAGCTGCTGCTGCACTAGCTAACGCTGCACTAGCTAACGCTACATTAGCTGCTGCTGCACTAGCTAACGCTACACTAGCTAACGCTACATTAGCTGCTGCTGCACTAGCTAACGCTCCACTAGCTAACGCTACATTAGCTGCTGCTGCACTAGCTAACGCTACACTAGCTAACGCTACATTAGCTGCTGCTGCACTAGCTAACGCTACATTAGCTGCTGCTGCACTAGCTAACGCTACATTAGCAAAACAAACACTAATTGATTTTGCAAAAGGTGCAGCGGGCTTCAAACACGTTCCCTCCACTGGTTTCAACCAAGCACTAAATTAGATGTTTTCCAACCAAATACGGTTGAACTTACACTTCCCCATATTTATTTGTAAGTAGATTCGAAGATAGGCTACATGAGCTGAAGCTTGGTTGCTAGGTTACTAGCTGGGTGTTCTCCAATAAGGGGCCGGGGGAAACAAAGTTAGTGATTACTGGTTCCATGTTGATTTAATTCAATACAAATTGTTGGGGGAACTGAAAGGCTATTACCGTACTGGTTACTTTGCAGCCCGGACATTTCCCCCAAAACACATTTAGACGCTATCGCAACATAGAAGTACCTTTCAAATCCGATAATTTTTAAGACCTTCTGAATCATATTTAAGACCTTTTTAAGGCCTTAAATTCTGATTATCAAATGTAAGACTTTTTAAGATTTGTTAAGACCCCGCGGGAACCCTGATTGTAACTTTTTTTTAATTGTCTGAACTTCTCCCACCTCTGACAATAAATCCTGAGTGTTTACCCTGCTCTGAAGATTATTTTCATTTTACAAATCCTGCACTCAGCTTTGCTTTCTCCAATATCATTGAAAAGCAGCCAGATGCTGCTTCTTTTTTCGGTTTTCGCTCATTTCTTGACTTTTTCCGACGCGCTTGCATTTAAATCCGGCTCCCCGTTTCCCCGTCGCTCTGCACATGCTGTGCCCCCACCCTTCTTTCACATAATGGTATGATCCTAGTGTGTCCTCGCATATGATTGGCCGCATGGTGGCCCGCTAAATAAAGACCCGCCCCTGCCTGCAAGGATTCTCAGCAAGAGTAGGAGCGGCTGAAGATTCTGCTTTCCCCGACGGGAGTCTGCTCTTCTAGCGGCAGCTCGCGATCGGCGTGTTGGAGACCTCTGAATTAAAGTAGCAAGTCACCTCAAGTCAGAAGGCTCAAGTCCAAGTCAAGTCCCGAGTCATTGGTGTTCAAGTCCAAGTCGAGTCGCAAGTCTTTTGTGATGTTGTCAAGTCGAGTCTCAAGTCATAAAATGTGTGGACTCGAGTCTGACTCGAGTCCAAGTCATGTGACTCGAGTCCACACCTCTGGTAAACAACACAAACACGCCCACGGCGCGTCTCCGCATGTGACACAGGAAGTATCTAAGTACATTTACTCAAGTACTGTACTTAAGTACAGTTATCATATCTGTTCGCCTGGCTGTTGACTATATAAAAAAAACGAACGGAGTAACGCACCATGTAGTAACGGTAACTGAGTTACTGAATTTAAAAAGTAATGCGTTAGAGTACTAGCTACTGCAAAAAATAAAGGCTTTACAGTAACGCGTTACTTTGTAAGTCCCAACACTGGTTATAGGTCCTGCCCTCTTGCCATACACGCCAGGGATTTTGGGCCCCATGGAAATATATCACATTGGGCCCCATCACCAGGCCCAGGCCACACCAACCAAGAACAATTGCTGTAACCACACCTCCAGAACCCAACCCACTCATTTATGCTTTAAATAACTCTACCTGTACAGGCTTGCATCTATCTTGTAGTCCAATACTAACTGCACAATATTTACTGACACTGAGCGGTGAACATATAACACTTATGGGGGGACAGGGCTGCTGAGCCTAGAGATGGATCTGTTGGTCCTGGCACCAGGGGGAGGGACAACTGATTTAGTGAATAGCTGCTAAAAATGTACCTGCATTTACTAAATGTCAGCTAAAAGAGGAGTGAAATTAAAAACCTGTATAGATATTAACAGTACTTAATGTCAGCTTAGTAAAAAAAAAACATAACAATTATTATTTACAATGGACTACGCTTAGCTAACAGACACATTTCCACCACTCATGGACCACACCCACCTTTTCTTTGAAACACTGGGTGACATACTGTCGCCCTTTAGTTCCTCTCTCTTGTCTTTCTCTCCTTTCTTTTCTCTTTTGAAAGCCTGACTTTGTGAGTCGTTGAGACATCGTACACACGTAGGTGCTAGCATCCCTCCTCACATGCTCTCACTCTCTGCTAGAAAGTGCTGCACCACATTTGGAGACAGGACCAAACCATTACATGTAAATAGAAGGGGGTGTTCGAGGCTTTGGATAATTAACTTTTGGAAGAAAATAAGTTAACTTAAACATTTTTTTCTTAATGTTCTAAAATAGTTTGGGCCCCCGTGGTGAGGGTGTTTGGGGTGGCCACTCCCAGCCACCCCCCAGCTCCGCCACTGATCATGGAGTGATGATATAGATACCTATCAATTCTGTGTCTTCTCACGATGTTAGTCGATATGTTGGATTTGCATTTACGATAAGTAATAAGGGTGTTATACCGTGTTTTATGTGCAAACGGCGTTAGCATTTTTTCGCTCGGGGCTAATTCAGAGGCTCAGCGTTAGCTTTGTGTTTTGGTTTGCAAAACAAAAAGAAAAAAAGATCAGTTAGCTGAGTTTCTTCCCGTTACATGGATATGAAACATTCATAGTTTATTAAATATTAAGAAGCCCTCAGACGCTGTTTCCTGCAGATTATGCGTTTTTCCCGTGTATGTGTGTGTTCGTGTGTGTGTGTGTGTGTGTGTGTGTGTGTATGTATGTGTGTGTGTGTGTGTGTGTGTGTAGAGAAAAAGTGACCATTTCGATCATAACACACATCTTGTTTTTTTTGTCATAAAAGATATGCCATGCTATGAAAAACGTGGTCTTCCCTTTAATTGATTTGTTAAGTATTTCTATCTTCTTTGACAATTCATGGGCCTTTTGTGTGCTGATAAATTTATTAAAGTATTATTATTTTAACTGGATTAAGTTCCCATCTAATGACCAGTCGACTCAGTGCCGATGTTTCCTCGTACCTTGCGGCGCAGCGTTGAAACCTTGGACTAATTTGGCTGAATTCTCGCTGAAGAAGCGCTGGCGGTACATGATGCGAACGTCGGCGTGGCAACCGCGGTTCAAAATGTCGGGCGAGTCGCTCATCAGCAGCGAGAAACCGTCGGCCGCCAGAGGACCGAGAGCAGCGTCATCGAGCAGAGAGAAGAGCTGCAAACACACACAGAGGGAAATAAACAGGTCCAGAGTGTGAAAGCTAGAATAATAGTGTTTTATTGTAACACAAGGTTTGACCGTCTTAAAGGTTTCCTATTATACTGTTTTTCATCAGTATATCACAGGTCTCAGATATATCCAGAGCCTGTCTCTGATTGGCTGAAACACCAAACAGATCATTGCAGCATTACCCATAATCCCTCTGTTTCAGCCCTGTTTCCAAAGTGCTGATTCTCTGTCTGTTACTTTAGATGAAAATAAGGAGCCCCTCCCCACGCCCCTCTGAGAGATATCTGGTTACAAAGAACTCAATGGTGCTCTAGGAGGAGGTTCAGGTGATAAGGGGGGGGGGGGGGGGGTACCTTGGTTGGCTGATTGGCTAATGGTTACACAAGACAACACATCGTTATGACATCATAAAGTGGCCAAAATCTGATCAGCTCATTTTCAGACAGGTTTTTATAGAAATGGATCAAAAAGAGAGAGAAACTTTGTTCCTGAAACTTTCAGAGTCTCTTTACACAGAGGGGACACGTGTTGATGTAGAAGAGACATGAAGAAGAGGGGACACATGTTGATGTAGAAGAGACACGAAGAAGAGGGGACACATGTTGATGTAGAAGAGGACATGAGAGAAGAGGACAACATGTTGATGTAGAAGAGACACGAAGAAGAGGGGACACATGTTGATGTAGAAGAGACACTGAAGAAGAGGGGACACATGTTGATGTAGAAGAGACATGAAGAAGAGGGGACACATGTTGATGAAGAAGAGACATGAAGAAGAGGGGACACATGTTGATGAAGAAGAGACATGAAGAAGAGGGGACACATGTTGATGTAAGAAGAGACATGAAGAAGAGGGGACACATGTGATGGAAGAAGAGACATGAAGAAGAGGGGACACATGTTTGATGTAGAGAAGAGACATGAAGAAGAGGGGACACATGTTGATGTAGAAGAGACATGAAGAAGAGGGGACACATGTTGATGTAGAGAGACATGAAGAAGAGGGGACACATGTTGATGTAGGAAGAGACATGAAGAAGAGGGGGACACATGTTGATGTAGAAGAGGACATGAAGAAGAGGGGGACACATGTTGATGTAGAAGAGACCATGAAGAAGAGTTGGGACACATGTTGATGTAGGGAGAGACATGAAGAAGAGGGGACACATGTTGATGTAGAAGAGACATGAAGAAGAGGGGACACATGTTGATGTAGAGGAGACATGAAGAAGGGAGACCATGTTGATGTAGAAGAGACATGAAGAAGAGGGACACATGTTGATGTAGAAGAGACATGAAGAAGAGGGGACACATGTTGATGTAGAAGAGACATGAAGAAGAGGGGACACATGTTGATGTAGAGGATACATGAAGAAGAGGAGACACATGTTGATGTAGGAGAGACATGAAGAAGAGGGGACACATGTTGATGTAGAAGAGACATGAAGAAGAGGGGACACATGTTGATGTAGAAGAGACATGAAGAAGAGGGGACACATGTTGATGTAGAAGAGACATGAAGAAGGGGGACACATGTTGATGTAGGAGAGACATGAAGAAGAGGGGACACATGTTGATGTAGAAGAGACATGAAGAAAGGGACACATGTTGATGTAGAGGAGACATGAAGAAGAGGAGACACATGTTGATGTAGAGAGACATGAAGAAGAGGGGACACATGTTGATGTAGAAGAGACATGAAGAAGAGGGGACACATGTTGAATGTAGAAGAGACATGAAGAAGAGGGGACACATGTGATGTAGAGAGGAACATGAAGAAGAGGAGGACACATGTTGATGTAGAAGAGACATGGAAGAAGAGGGGACACATGTTGATGTAGAAGAGACATGAAGAAGAGGGGACACAGGTTGATGTAGAAGAGACATGAAAGAAGAGGGGACACATGTTGATGTAAGAAGAGACATGAAGAAGAGGGGACACATGTTGATGGTAGAAGAGACATGAAGAAGAGGGGGACACATGTTGATGTAAGAAGAAATGAAGAAGAGGGGACACATGGTTTGATGTAGAAGAGACATGAGAAGAGGGGGACACATGTTGATGTAGAAGAGACATGAAGAAGAGGGGACACATGTTGATGTAGAAGGACATGAAAGAAGAGGGACACATGTTGATGTAGAAGAGACATGAAGAAGAGGGGACACATGTTGATGTAGAAGAGACATGAAGAAGAGGGTGGAGACATGAAGAAGAGGGGACACATGTTGATGTAGAAGAGACATGAAGAAGAGGGGACACATGTTGATGTAGAAGAGACATGAAGAAGAGGGGACACATGTTGATGTAGAAGAGACATGAAGAAGAGGGGACACATGTTGATGTAGAAGAGACATGAAGAAGAGGGGACACATGTTGATGTAGAAGAGACATGAAGAAGAGGGGACACATGTTGATGTAGAAGAGACATGAAGAAGAGGGGACACATGTTGATGTAGAAGAGACATGAAGAAGAGGGGACACATGTTGATGAAGAAAGAGACATGAAGAAGAGGGGACACATGTTGATGAAGAAGAGACATGAAGAAGAGGGGACACATGTTGATGAATAGAAGAGACATGAAGAAGAGAGGGACACATGTTGATGTAGAAGAGACATGAAGAAGAGGGGACACATGTTGATGTAGAAGAGACATGAAGAAAGAGGGGACACATGTTGATGTAGAAGAGACATGAAGAAGAGGGGACACATGTTGATGAAGAAGAGACGATGAAGAAGAGGGGACACATGTTGATGTAGAAGAGACATGAAGAAGAGGGGACACATGTTGATGTAGAAGAGACATGAAGAAGAGGGACACATGTTGATGTTAGAAGAGACATGAAGAAGAGGGGACACATGTTGATGTAGAAGAGACATGAAGAAGAGGAGACACATGTTGATGTAGAAGAGACATGAAGAAGAGGGGACACATGTTGATGTAGAGAGACATGAAGAAGAGGGGACACATGTTGATGTAGAAGAGACATGAAGAAGAGGGGACACATGGTTGAGTAGAAGAGACATGAAGAAGAGTGGACACATGTTGATGTAGAAGAGACATGAAGAAGAGGGGACACATGTTGATGTAGAAGAGACATTAAGAAGAGGGGACCATGTTGATGTAGAAGAGACATGAAGAAGAGGGGACACATGTTGATGTAGAAGAGACATGAAGAAGAGGGGACACATGTTGATGAAGAAGAGACATGAAGAAGAGGGGACACATGTTGATGAAGAAGAGACATGAAGAAGAGAGGACACATGTTGATTGTAAGAAGAGACATGAAGAAGAGGGGACACATGGTGGATGTATGTAAAGCAGACATGAAGAAGAGGGGACACATGTTGATGTAGAAGAGACATGAAAGAAGAGGGGACACATGTTGATTGTAGAAAGAGACATGAAGAAGAGGAGACACATGTTGATGGAGAAGGAACATGAAGAAAGAGGGGACACATGTTGATGTAGAAGGAGACATGAAGAAGAGGGGACACATGTTGATGTAGAAGAGACATGAAGAAGAGGGGACACATGTTGATGTAGAAGAGACATGAACAAGTGGAATAGGTGACCTTTAATAACAGGTGCATGTTTACCTTGTCAGTCAGTGTGGTGAACAGAGGGTGGTATCGGAGAAGTAGAGCTTTGGCAACCTGGAGATAAAATCAATGTTATTGCACTTGCTGCTTTTTAAACCAACAAATACTTCTGTTATTTACAAATGAAATGGATGGTTTGGAGTTTTAAAGTGTGGCTGTATGACGTATCCTTGATAAGTTTGTTTTGTATTGTATTTTGGTGTTGGGATTTTGGTTTGTTTGGAAAAATGTGCTGCTTCCTCGTCTACAGTAGAACATTGCTTTGATGTTGTGTTGGTACTCCTCCACACTAACAATAGATTCCTAGTAGGGATGCTCCGATCGCCGGAATCAGTATCGGCCGATACCGATCGCCGATCCAATCGAGTGGGCGGGGCCTATGGGGATCTTCCATTTAAAGTGATGTTTAAAACTCAGTTAATGGGGCTCATTAAGCGAGCTTGTTTTGCCGCGCACAGAGAAAAGTGTCATGTATTTTACGTCATGTGATCGGCTCTCCGGATCGGCAGAGAGTGAATATCGGCCAATATCGATCGGAGCATCCCTACTTCCTAGAACCGTTCTTCATTAAATCCAAACAATCCCTTTACCTTGCTTTATTGATTGGCAACCGACTGGTAAAAAAGTGAAATGAACTTGTGTATCGTCTAGGGCTGAACGATTAATCGATTTTAAATCGAGATTTGAAATGATGCGATTATCAAATCGCAAAGCCTGCAATTTTTTTTGACTTTTTTTTTTTTTTACAATATATATTTTTTTTAGGGCCGGGACTTTAACGCGTTAATTAAGATTAATTAATTACACAAAAATTAACGCATTTTAATCGCACTTATTTTTGCACCGCGGAACGTTTCTCACTGGATGAGTTTCAGGCGTACCGATTATACTGGAGCACCAACTAACGTTCATGACTTCAGACAACAACAAACCACAGTGAACAACAGTGGGAAATGTTGTTTTAAAAAACGGACGGATGGAAGCGTCGATAAGAGCACGGTTGTGTGCAAATTATGCAAAAAGGAATTCGCATATCACCGCAGCACATCAAGCCTCAAGTATAACCTCAATGCAAAACATATAGCAGCTAGCGTGGAAACTAGCGTGGACGTTAGCCTCTTTTATCGCGTTCACACCAAAAAGAGCCGGTACTAAAATTAGTTCATGAGAACCTTTTTACCCCCACGAAAGTCTCTGCTAGAGAGCAGAGAGCTGCTAGAGAGCAGGGACTTTCGTGCGGCTCTCTTGTGAGAAAAGAGCTATATTTCTGATTGGCTGGGCGGATTGCAAACCACGCCCCGTAAAACTCCCAAAAAGTTTTGTGAAGCCGCCATTTTATTATCCTCGCATTAGCATTATTAGCATTAGCCCAGCGCAGAGAGACTAACTTATGGCAACACAAAATAAAACATGGGAGCGGTGGAGATGAGGAGGTGTCGGCGTTCTAGCGATTTACTCGGAAGGCTTCAGTAGAAGCTGCTGGGACTCCCAGCAGCTTCTACTGAAGCCAGTCCCCAACTCCGGGGACTTCCGGTCGGGGACTTTGGGCGGCAGTATACGCCGTGAAGTGGTTTGCGGCCTGCCAGTAAACCTAAAGCAGAAGAAGAAGAAGTGACGTCAGCGGCTTCATTTGCCTAATCCACCCCCAGGTTCAAAGAGTTCTCATGAACTAAATTCTCATGAACCTTTGTGGGAAAAGTACTGCGGTGTGAATGCGCCTAATGGTATACTAAAATCCATGTGAAAAAAATTGCTTCTCACTGTTCTTAGGTCAAATATTTACATGTGATTAAAAATGCGATTAATTTCGATTAATTAATTACAAAGCCTCTAATTAATTAGATTAATTTTTTTAATCGGGTCCCGGCCCTAATTTTTTTTTCTTCTTGTGTGTCAGTCATCCACACCAATCAGAAGTGCTGTGCTCCACATGTACCAGCCATTGTTAATCAATCAGAATTGGCCCATGATAGAAGGTGATAGACAGATTGATCCAATCACCTGCCAAGTCTTTTTGAAAGTGCCTGCCCTTACAAAATGGCTTCCAATGGAGCTTTCCTAGATGGTTTGGTGAAACAAAGCACCTGAGTCAGGTTAGCAATGCTCCGTCATGTGTTTCTATTACAGGGTGAATCTTAAACTGAAGCTTGACTTTAAAGCAACCCAACGGAAGTTTCATGTAAGTTTAGTTTTTTCACTCGTAGCTCGGGCAGCGGGGAGTGCTAGAGAAACGGGAGCATGTTGATGCGACCTTCCTAGCCGGAGTTATGGCCGTATTTTACAATAAACTTCCGTTGGGTCGCTTAAAAACTAATATCACAATTCGAATCGCAATATTCGTCAGAAAAATCGCAATTAGATTTGTTCCCAAAATCGTGCACCCCTAGTATCGTCACATAACAAATGTCTTAAATGTCTGACTTAATATCTCAAATCTAGGAGAGAAAAATAATATATATATATGTTGCACTGTTGGAGGAGCCTGTGACTTAAGTTTTTAATTGACATATCTACACTGTAGCTAATGTGCTAATGACAATAAAGCCTTGAATCTTGAAGACTTTGCAAACCCACCCAGATCATGAGGGTGAAGGCCTGAGTGTGAACTGATGAAGACGAAGAGTCCAGCTCACTGCAGACCCTCTTCATCGTGCTGTGAATCCGGCTGTCCAGAGAATCACCTGAAGAAGAAACCAAACTGTTACAGACGACTCAATTATCACGTGAGGGACTCAGTTTTGGAGGAAAAAGCCAGATTTTGACCCAAACTCACCGTGTGGTTTCTTGTTCAGCAGACCAGAAAGGCATTTAGCAGCCGAGGTGTAGGAGAGAGGGTGGAGGACGGAGCAGCTCATCTCCTCCAGAGCTGACAGAAGCTCGTCCACCCGAGGAACCTCCACCTAAACAAGAACCAAGTTTTTCAAGCCATCTTGACTAAATGGCACAAAAACACGGATGCATACACATTGAAATACAGACAAATAAATAATTGCAAGAAGCCTTTTTTCAACATATATTATAGATATTGTTTGTCTGCATT